GTGAGTCTAAAAACTATACTGTAGATATGTAAACCTTGGACTTCGAAACAAAAAGATTATATATCAAGAGATAGAGGAGCACAGTGTGTGAAACCTACACTCAAACAACACAGAAAAAAAACTACCAACACATAAAATGATGAAACAAATGTGGCAAAATGTCAGTACTTCATGTATTTAGATAAAAGGGATTTGAAGTTTTCAGTGCTACTACACAACTTTTCTCTACATTCCTTCAAAATTAAAAGTAAAAAAAAATTTTAAGTGAACCAGCTGAAATTTTGTTTTGTTTTGTTTTTTGAGTCAGGGTCTCACTCTATAATTCAGGCCAGCCTTGAACTTACTATGTAGCCTAGGCTGGCCTAGAATTCGCTGTGATCCTCCTGCCTCAGCCTGCCACGTGCTGGGCATGTGCCAGCATACCCAGCCTTTTTTTTTTTTTTTTAACTTAATGCTAAAGCATAGATGGAAAAGAAAAGAGAAACTTTTTGGAAAGGAGAACTTTTTGCAAAGCACAAACTGCCTTTGCTCTGGACTACCTTTTCAATAATAATTATATAAAAATAGATTTATCAGAAATAGTGCCTCAAAAAACAGATCCAAGGATCTGTGAAATAGAATAGAAGATGCAGAAGCAACTCCAAACATACTCAGCTATCTTATCTTTGACAAAGGGGCCAAACACCTTCACTGGAAAGATGGCTTCTTTAATAAATGGTGCTGGGAAAACTGGCTTTCCACATGCCAAAGACTGAACTTTGACCCATATCTCTCACCGTACACTAAACTAAAATCAAAAGGGAACAAAGATCTAACTATAAAAACAGAAACACTTAATCTGCTGGAAGACAGACTAGGTAAAACTCTTGAAGATATAGGTGTAGGCAAAGACTTTATGAACAAAACCCCGATCGCACAAGCAATATTACAAAGAATCAACAACTGGTATCACATCATATTAAAAAGCTTTTGCACAGCAAAAGAAACCACTAACAGAATGAAGAGACAACCTACAGAATGGGAAAAAAATTTTACCAGCTATTCTTCAAAGGACTAATATCTAGAATATAAAAAACTAAAAAAAAAAAATCAGATCCCCCAAATTTAAAGAACCAATCCAAGAATGGGCACCTGAAATGAATAGACACTTCTCAGATGAAGAAGTACAAACAGCAAATAAATACATGAAAAAATGTTCAACATCACTGGTCATCTGAGAGATGCAAGTCAAAACAATGCCAAGATTCCATTTCACTCAACAAAGAAAGGGTGTTATCAAGAAATCAACCAATAACAAATGCTGGCGGGGCTGTAACAAAAAAGGAAACCTTCTCGACTGTTGTTGGGAGTGTGGAAATCAGTGTGGAGATTCCTCAAAAAACTAAAAGTAGAGGTTGCATTCAACCCAGCTATTCCTTTTTGGTATCTTCCCAAAAGAATTAAAAGCATCATAGCACAGGTATATATGCACATTCATGTTTACTGCGGCACAGTTTGTAATAGCTAAATCTTGGAAACAACCCAAATGCCCATCAACCAATGAGTAAAGATGTGTTTTTTTATACAATGGAGTACTACTCTGCCATAAAGGATAAGCTTGAGACATCTCTAGCTAGATTTCTAGCTAAATGTAAATATCTCATGGTTTCTCTGGTATGTGTAATACCAAAGGACCAAAATGTATAATATATATTGGGAAATGGCAAGAAAATGTTCAAATGAGAAGGGGAACATGGGAGGGAGAAGGGGGGTGGGGAAGGAAAGAAGGGACAAGAAAAAAAAAATGGAAGGAAAAAAATGGAAACGAGGCTTTTGTAGATAAAGAAGGGAGGGGGTTGAAGGAAGGGGAGGAAATGGGAAAGAAAGAAGCAAGATATATCATGTATAGGTACAAATTCCCTATGATGAATATTATTACGCATACGGTATAAAATGTACCAGTAAAATAAAAAAAAACAAAAAACAAAAAACAAAAATGCCAGAATACCCATTTTGGCAAAGATATTGAGAAACAAACAAAAAATGAATGCATACATTATATTATTTTGTGAAATTTTCACCTTGCTTATATAAACGGCCGTAGTGTGTATAGAATGCATTTCTTTTAGGCACAAGGAATAATCTACATAATGGGAATGTAATGCAAAAGGAAATCTTACTGTGTTAAGAGAAAAGAATACACTGGCTAGAACCTAGAGAAAATGTAAAATAGCATGAATGTAGTTATATGAATTTTGAAGGATGCTAAGCACGTGGTAGTTTGTGAAAAGTAGAAAGATAGTGATATGATTTGATTCTTTTTTTTTTTTCTTTGAGACAGGTCTCGCTATGTAGTTCAGGTTGACCTCGAACTCATGGTGATCCTCCTACCTCAGCCTCCAGAGTGGTAGGATTATAGGTACATTCCACCACACTTAGCTTGATTTACATTTTAGAAGTTACTTTTTTTCTTTGCAGTACTGGGGATTGAACCTAGGGCCTTCAGACTGACCTAAAGCCCAAGCTTTTTTAAAATTTTAAGACAGGGTCTTGCAGGGTCGGGGATTTAGCTCAGTGGTTCTAGCGCCTCCCTTGCAAGCACAAGGTCTTGAGTTTGATCCCCGGTACCAAAAAAAACAAAAACAAACAAAAAAAGATAGGGTCTTGCAAAGTCTCCCAGGCTGGGCTGGAACTTGTGATCCTCCTGCCTCAGCTTCCCAGAGTTCTGGGTTTAGAGGTGAGCACCACCACACTTAGCTTTTAAAAGTCACTTTTCTTGATATATGTAGAATGAACTGGAGAGACAAAATGGCAACAAAGATCAATGAAAAGGATTTTGTAGCAGTCAATGTAGCTGATAATGGTTTGGTTTGGGATGGGGAAGTGGTGTCAACAGCAATAGAAAAGAACTGTGGTTCCATCCATTCCATGTCAGTATCTACACACGTGCTCTTCTTGGAATACCCTACCCCTTCCTGAGCTCTCATCCTATTCACATGGCACACTGCTACTCACAGCCCTTTCAAAATGGAGCCCCAACATCTCCTTTTCAACAAAGCCTTCACACATAGTTTTCTTTTCCATGTTCTCTCAGCACAAGCTTCCAAATAGTCATAGACTGCACTATAACTACCTGTTCACATGTTTCCCAAGCTAAAGCCATTCCAGGGCAGAAACCATATTCTACTCATTTTCAACCTTGACACAATATTTAGAAAACTATAAATTCAATCAAAGTTTGCTGAATGTATGTACTCTTGCATGTAATATATTCCATCACTCCTAAACTAACAAAGCAATCCTCATTTGTAAAGATACTACGTATTGTACATATTTCTATTTATCTTCAAATTTTAGATACTCACACAACGATTCTATATTCAAAGACATATATATTTATGTTGCTATATAAATCCATAATATTGTTTAGCAACCAAATTGGGCATCTTGTCTTTACAAACTAAACAACATAGTGTATAGGAAAGAGCTAATTTTTCTATAAACCAAATCTTCAAATTATTGATCACATGGTTTGGGCAGGTTATTTAATCTTTCTAGATCTCTAGTTGTTCAATTACATAATAATACAATTATGTGAACTATATCCAAGGGTTGCCATGGGGCTAAGTGTGAATGTAGAGTGACACAAATATATGCTCAGTAAATATATACTCGACTTACATTCTGTACAGGAAGAATAATTTAGCCTTTGTAAAACTACACACAGTATGTTTCTGATTATGGCATTATCTTGACCTAAGGATATAAAATGGAAACCACCTATGGATACTGAGACCCAAAACTATCTACCTCAGACATCATTTACTAACCTGAGGTTATTATTTCTTCATACTCATTAACATAACTTCACAATTCTTGGGAGACTCCTGCCCAAATAACTTGATCATTATAGGAACTTCATTAAAAATCTTCAATAGAAAGCATCAGTTTATGCCTCAGAACTCCTTGCATTCCCTTCCTTTCTCTTTCCAGTAATGATAAACTGTTATATTAAGAACAGTGTTCACTCCCAGTTAAGCAACCACCTCTCACTGGGTGCCACGAAAAGGTCAGCCTTAAACCAAATTCCAAATTCTCAGTAAATCTGACCTAACTTGCCTTTCCAAACTGAGACACTATCAAAGCTCCAGCCTGGTAGTGCTTTCCCTTACTCTAGTAAACAATAAAAACAGCTTTATCTTATCAAAATGTGATGGTGGTGGTATTTGGGGAGTTAGCATTGGCCACGGCAGTACATCCACACGCATAAAGATAAGGCAGAGGGATTCTCCTACAAATGTCTAGAAACAATAAAAACGAACGAATGTAAATTATACACCAGCCAAAACACGTTCACTAATACTTTCATTAATAAGGAAATTGGCTTGTCAGGACCATAATACACTGTCCTTGTAAAATTCCACAGGTGGCCAGTGAATTTTAAAAATTCTTTTTGATCAATTCCAGATTCTGCAGTTTTTTACTCTCTTTTCAAAAAGTTGTTAAAATATGACTGAATCAAGAAAAACTGCTTCATGTATTGTTGGGTTTGTCAAAACGCATACATATCATACATACAAACATATACACACACGTATATGGTAGGATGCTGAGAACTATCTGCAAGAGTTAACCAGCTTTCAAGGTAGATCCTTTCCAATGGCAATTTAGGTCCATTATTAACTTCACGAGTGTGAGCAACACTGATTTCTTAGGGTTTTAAGCAGGGCCCAAAGACATTCAATCAAAGGTACAGTAAAGAATGTAAAACTGTGGGCTGAAGAGTGAAGGAAGCAACAAGTGCTTTTCAAGGTTTACTTTTTACCCTGTGAAAGCGATCTCCACCCCACTTTCTGACCCTTCACAGGTTTCCCTACTCCAAAGAGCGAGGAGACCGCCAAACTAACTAGATTTCGCAGAACTCGCTCTCACGCTAAATGAAGACTCTCCGTAGAGACCAAGAGGGTTTGCAGTCCCTGACTTCTGGGGAGTCTTCCTTCCGCCCACTCTGGTATCCATACCTGACTGGCAATGCACCTGCGGAAGCCGCACGCCATATCTTATTCTGCAAGACCAGTAGCCCCCGGGTTCCAGGCCTCGCTCTGCCCGTCCTCTTCTGCAGCCCCGCCTCCGCACACCGGAAGCCCACCCGGACGATAGCCAATCAACAAGCCGTATGGCCCATCACTAACCTTTGCCCTCTTGCCGCGAGGGCGCGCGGGAAATCCCGAGTGCATCCGGAATCCTCCCGACTGCTGGGACTATGGCCACCTCTTCGGTGTCCAAGGTACGTGGACTGGCACTTACTGGGGCTCCACCGCCCTCTCATTCCTCTTTGAAGACGAGGTGAAGCCAAGGTGACGTCGGTCACGATTTCCTGGCTGAAAGGGAAGGAGCGGTGGGCAGACCTCAGGCTTTTTTGCCCCAGGTCCAGCAGAGGCCAACTTTACTTGGGAAGCGAGATGGCAGATCTGTCTTCTGGTGCGGCTAGGAGGATTTTTAAGTTGCAATTTGTGGAGGTCGGACGCCTCCAGGATGTGCCCCTAGTCTTCCTTTTCCCCTCTCAAGTATTTACTGTGTGTCAAGCACTCCGTTAGGTGCCCAGATAAAGACTTTCTATAAAAAAGAAAAATATTAATAAGCAGATGCTCATAAATTATGACAAATGTGAACAGGAAGGAAGCTAGAAGAAAGAAAAAAAAAAGAGAGGGAGGAACTTAATGTAGACTGCTAAGGGTCAGTGAAGGAGAACGTGACATTTTAGCTGAGACCTGAAAAATGAGTACAAGTACGTCTGGCACAGGGTTCGGTGAAGGACAGCAGAGAGAACATGAAGTTAAGTGGCATATTAAAGAAATTGGGAAGTCAGTATAATCAGAGGGCAGAGACAGAATAGGAACATTAGGACAAATGAATATAAAAATGAAATGCAGTTATGTGTATGTTGGAGTGGGTCAAATAATATATGAGCCCTCTTCATATTGGCAGCCTAGATGGCAAGGGATTGCAAGTCAGAGTATAATTGGTAAAAAAAAAAATTGCTGGAAAAAAAATTGCTGGGCATAAATTGCTCACGTCTGTAATCCCAGCGCTCAGGAGGCTGAGGCAAGAGGATTGCCAGGAGTTCAAGGTCAGCTGGGCCACATAGTTCAAAGCCAGCCTGAACTACATAGCAAGACTCTGAGAAAATAAATCCTAAAGTTGCGTTGCCAGGTGTAGTATCCGCTAGCCACACATGGCTATTTAAATTTGAATTATAATAAAATTTAAAATTGAGTTCCTCAGTTGCACTGGCCACATTTCAAACACTTAACCACACACACTCATGGCTACTGTACCAGACAGCAGATATGTGACATTTCCATCATTACGGAGAGTTCTTTTGGACAATTCTGCTCATGTAAAAGTAAGGCCTTTGGTTGTCTTTTAAACTCAATCTTAGCCAAAAGGCTGAGAAGCAATTAGTCATCTTTTAAGTACAGTAGGAAGCCCCCGAAGTTAAATTGTCTGATGAAACTGAAAATGCAGAATTTGTCAAGACTTTTTCTCGCTGTGTTTTAGCAAGGGATTGATGAAAGCTAAACTAGAGATCTAATTTTAAATTTTGAATAAAAAGGTCTATGAGAAGCAATGTTTTCCAAAACTACATCTCGAGGAATAAGTACAATCCTAGAGTTTAAGATCTTGAAGCATTAAAAACTGATGCTTAATAAAAAGCCAGACGTGATTTAACTGTACTCGTGTTTTTATTAGGTGTATTACTGTTTTTATTTTTATGGCTATAAAGTTCCATAGGTTTTGAGTGGTCTATCTTCTAATCCTATTGTTGCATAACACCTCTTATTTTTGTGTATCTTGCAGAAAATTACATTTTTTTTTCAGGAAAGTATTTTTGATGTTACGACATAAATGGCTGTATTGGGAGATTATGAAATATACTGTACAAAAGTAAGAACATTTAAGGACCATTCTTAAGTATTTTTATTTCTCTTTCCTCATGAAATTTTCTGTTGGCCATCCTCCTAGATGTTCTTTCTTCATTGCAAGCACCATTACTTGACCAGCAGTTCAAAGTGGTTATAATCATATTGCTATCACTGCCTTATATTAGGATCCATTCTGGGGACTCTTAATATCTTGCTCCAATCCTTTACTGAATTGCAGGTTTATATGGAAAGGATTCAGTGAAAAGCTTGTCATGGTACCAAATGGTTTTTATAAATATGTATGTGTATTTCACATAGTTTCACTAGTTGTACATAATAAGAATATAAGACACAATTCTTAATTTGGAAATTATAATCCAAATGAGCACTTTATATTTCAGAACTACCCTTTTTCTAACTATCTGGAGATGACTTTTTATATGTATATTTCTCTTATTCTTTTTTGATCTTCTGTATAAATGAAAATCTTTAAGAAGCTATCCATAAAGTCTAGCTTTAAGTTTGGTAGAATGCAGTAGGACTGACCAGTAACTTATAGGGAGCTATGTACCATAGTCTAATATAATACTGTAAAACTAAATATGGCCAGGAAATTACTAGGAAAATTACTTGATAAGCATTCATTTTGTATGCTCATTACCAAATGTATATGTTAGCATTGTCCTAAACATTAGGGAAATGTTTGTAAATACAGTGTGTTCTCTGAAGTTGCTCTCAATCTACTTGGGGAGACAGACCCATAATACAATGATAATGCAATGAAAGAGATTTAAAACAAAGAGAAAGATGTTCAAATACTGTGAGATCTCAGAGAAAGGAGCATTTCTGACTAGAGAATTGGGGAAGATTTCCTAGAAAATGTGAATTTTCAGTCCAATTTTAATGGGTAAATAAATAAGTTTATCAGTTGAAAGAAAATGAAGGGTGAAACCATAGCCAAAATTATGTTTCCTGTTAAGATTCTACAAGGTGCTTAGAGTTTACTTATTAACACCTTTTTTTAAATTGAAGAATGTCACTATTATAACCCTTCTTGATCTTCATTTTAATATGTAGTATTAATGTTATTTCTCCTGAGTTTAATAAAAATGGACCTTAATGGAATTAAATTGCATCAACTTTTATTTTCTTTGTTTGCCTGTAATAGCAGGTCCCACAGAGTAAAAACCAAATGTCTTTAAGAGCATTCCATGGAAAGAAGGGGAAAGAAATAGATAGTATAATATTTTTACTTCTTTAATTTAGAGAAAAGTGATGTGATTTCTTAGGTCCTGAAAGAAACATCTCTCTCCCCTTTTAAAAAAATCTATTCATAAAATATTTGGTTAATCATTTTTGTATGCTTATTCCTCAGCTATTTTGACTTTATGCTTTTTTCTTTATTTTATAGGGCTGTTTTGTGTTTAAACCAAACTTCAAGAAGAGAAAGATCTCTGTATCAACAGGTAAAGTTTCTTAACATCAAATTTATTATTTTTTCTTCCTCCTTGTCTCTTAAACTTTAAAAACTAATCCTAATTGAATTTAATAATTCTCTTTTCTAAGCTGACTTGTTTACCATGTTGATGTAAAAGTTACATTCCAAGGCATTGGTCAAAAGAATAAAGGTACACCCAGGGTTGTGTTCTCAAAGTGAATGTAGACATATCTTCAAAAAGCAGATTGGAAAGTAAGTTTATTTTGATGATTTCTCTGCTTTTCTCTTATGTACAACTTTAGAAATGAAAATGAAAGTCATTTTGTACTAGAAAAGTATACTGATGCCTGATCAAAGAATCAAAACAATTGCTGTTTTTTTGTTTGTTTTGTTTTTTGGTACCAGGGATCAAACTTGGGTCCTTGCACTTGTGAGGCAAGCTGTGGAACCACTGAGCTAAATCCCTGGCCCCTCAATTGCTGTTTTTTACTAAAATGTTTAGTGACACAGATTTCTACCAATAGGAGTAATATATACAGAAATTGAAATATTTAGTAATATGTGGAAAATCACAAAAGAAAAGACTACAAATGTACATTATATTTTCTAGTGAAAATTGTGTAAAACTTATTCATGGATTAAATACACAGTATTTGTGGGGAAATTTGAGCATGCTTAAAATTTTGATGTAGCATTCCATTTTGTGAATAAACTTGGCAAGATAAAGAAAAATAATCATATGGAACATATAATAATGGTTTTAGTAACTACATGAATGTTAAGTAGGATGTTGCATGTTCCAATTTAAGGGTCAGTGCTGTGTGCTACATGTGATACATGTTGAAAAAAAAGCCCAAGGTCCTGAATCTCTCTCTCTCTCTTATTGCCACACCTTGGTTTGAATCTCTTATAGTAATTCTCCCACATTGTGGAAGCACACAGTTACAGAATCATCTGAACTAGAACTAATTGAACAAAGAATATGATCCTGACCCTAACTAGCTCTATGGCCTTGGCCCTGCTGTTCAGCCTTTCCCTAGGTCTCTTCATCTATAAAATGAGGGACGAGACTGTCTTATTAAAATCTTTTCTTATTCTCATTCCATGCCTCTAAAAACTAACATGCAGGACTTCATGAAACTAATAAATACCTTGTGCTATCATAGACTACTACCTTAGCCTTGTAGTTTTTCTTCTGATAGTCCCATCTCTTGGTAGCCTGCGGGAAAGGATAAAAAGGCAAGAATGAGCAGTAAAGGACATTCTGCTCTCAGATCTGCCAAATATTTTCAAGTCACTTGGATTCACTGCCTTTTAATCTTTCCACCCTTTCCACCAGTTTGCACTTTTCAGCCTTTTATGCACACAAGGGTTTAACACTGATCTCACTCTTTATCACAACTAAAAGAAACTAAATAGGGGTTTTAAAATAGATTTTCTTAAAAGTCTCAGTAGTTTCCTGGGATGAAGTAGGGGGAGTTGATTACAAAAGGGCAAAAGGAAACTTCTCATAGTGATAGAAATGTTCTGTATCTTGAGGGGGTGATATATGAGTATATACTTGTATCAAGCTGTTAAAATGAGTATATTTTATTAATTTGTAAATTATACCTCAAAATTAAATTATTAAAAACTTTTTTCATTTATCTCTAGATACTTGTTTAGTGATCAAGTTAAGATGATGTCATTTCTTCAAACAAATCATATTAATGTTAGAAACTGTTTATTGCACTGGTTTCAGTTGTCACTGTACATTAGAATCACTTGGGGAACTTTTAATAAACTCTT